GATATTGGAGGGGGGATGCTCTTATTGGGGACATTCTCCCAAATTTTGACCAATGCATGCTGGCATGCTTTGGGAAACACATTCTGGCATGCTTTGGTCAAGTTTTTGGGGAAAATCTGTTCTCAGATATTGGACAGTGATCAAACAGCCATTATCCCAACATTTCTGAGGCAATGCCAAGCAAATGGCATTGCAAGTCAAGTTACAATGGCCAAATTATTTGCTGGGCAGAGCTTTGGGGGAAGGTGCCAGTTTACGGGGAAGTTGAAGCATGGCCAGAATTTATAAAAAAAAATTGTTTTTTTTTGCATAGAACTCCTTCAATTATCAATATTTTCAAATGAAAAAATTGAAGATATAAAGGTGTGATTTGACTTCATGGAACCATGTAAAAAAATTGAATTTGGCCCAAAATATAAATGTTGGTGTAATTTTAAAGTTGAAAAACAGAAAAAGGTGGAATTTCCAAGAGTCTGCTCTAAAGACAGGGTGGGAGATCAGTGAAATGTTACTGGGAAGGGAAATGCCAACTAAGCTCTTACACATAATATAAGCTACTTTATTTGGTGAGATCCATTGTAATATTGCTTGACTAATGCTTGAAAGAAAATATATACAAGGGTTGTTTCGTGAGTCTGGCAGCTATTTCAAGTAGAACCATGGTTTGGTCAATTGAAAAAAGTTGTTAACACATAAGCTTGACATGTGGCAACACTTGAATGCTGTTAAGCATGCTCTCTGCCAATTTCAATGCACTTTTTCATGCAATAAATTCAACAACCAAAACTGTTCAACAATTTTTGGTTTAACAATCAAGAATTACCTGGAAAAATTCAGTCTGGACTTTTTTCCCCTGTTTAGAGTATTTATTGAGTGAAAAAGTGGTAAAATTCAGGATTTCTTGGGGTGATGGGCAGTTCAGTTTGACCAAAGGTCACTGAAATATCCCCAGGTTCAAAAGGCCTAAATTGGGGGAAATGTGGGTACAGAAAATCCCATTTTCTCAATAAATCCCCAATGTTAATTATATGCTGTTAATGTATGAAAAAAATGCCCTTCCAGGCATGAATTTTTTTCATGCTTGAGCCAAGATTTTTACAGGATTATAAAACATATCTTATTTTTCCTGACGTAGGTCTTGATTCAAAAATCATATTTTTCTTTCAATTGCATCGTCCCTCATGGGGACAACATTTTTCAAACATTTATTGACTTTTCTGCACAACGGATAGTCGTATAGCTCTGTCATTAAGACGGCATAATGTTGGCCTATATCTAGTCTTCCGATGATTTGGAAGAAAACTAACACTAGGAAGACGGCATTTGATGAACTAAATGCAGTGAAGGGAACATTAATAATCAGTTCCTTGACAACCAGGATGTGCATCATAATAGTCATTTTAAATTGATTTTATGTATAAAATAGTGTAATTTTCAATCAAAATGCACTGCAGCATCTTACTCTGAGTTATACATTCCAACAGGATTTCAGGAAAAACACGTGCACTTCTTCCTCAAAGGCTTGTGGTACTCAAGGTTGCATTGTATTTAAGAGAACAGAGGAACTGTCATGTATTGCTTGTACTTTTTTTGTCCAATAAAAAACTCATCCATAAGTTGACATTATATTTCCTATAGTTGAAAGAACAAACAGTTCAGGAAGCATCCTCAGATCTCATCCCATGCGGTTTTTTTTCTTTTCGATTTCTATGAAACTCTCAAGTATGAACTTATTTTCCATAGCGAATCCCGCTACGACGTGTCAGTCACAAACTCCGAATGGCCATCGACGGTGTACTATGTAAGTGCAAGAATGTTAGCTGTATGATACTTCGGAAAGTGAATATTTTTGTAATAAATTCGAAGGACACTCTGTTCGAAACATATGGATCAATCATCACCGAAATGACTGTATCAATGGCGCAAAGCGACGAAGAGAGACGAAGCATATTGGCAAGAGAGTTCACCAAGGTCAATATTTTTTTGGAAACTTTCGAAGTTACAAACATTGGAGAGGATGCCAAATATGATGTGAGAAACCCTTTTCCAGTATTTTTGAACTTGAATGCTTTTATTTGGACTAAAGATGTGTTTTCTCCCCAAATTTTATATAGTTATCGAAAACTATGAGTGACTTGGGAGGAGCAGCAGGGCTCTACTTGGGAATCTGCGTGGTTACTCTACTGGAAATCCTGGAGCTGATTTTGTCTTTGTGCAAATCTTTGATCCGTTTCCTGTTCTGCAGATCATCAGGAAAAATGCAGAACAAGAATGTGCATCCAATGGCTCGGGGAAAGAGCAATTTTCCGTCCTCCGAAATGTATGACTGACGAAAATCCTCCTTCATTATTCATATCTGCTCTTCAAGAAGCAGAAGAAAGAAGCACAAAAGCACCAAAATATTGCTCATTTCTGCACGTGACTTATTGTAAGCTGCTGAAGGCATTGGAAAATAAATGTTCCTCCTATCAACATCTATACCCCGTTTTTCAAGCTTTCTCAACAAGGATGGAAGAGGGCTTCAGCAATTACTACTTTCACAAATATTCAAAATTCGATGAATTTTTCTTCCTGAATTGAAATTCTCGTGGAAACTCCAAATCAGTATAAGCCAGCAAAACAAAACAAAGTCAAACAATACAGTATTAATGCTAGGCGACAATAATTTGACAAAGCTTGATCAAAATTGTGGGTGAAATTTCGAGGAAAAATGTGCAGTTACAGTAGACCCTCGTCAAGTCAAATTCAAAGATAATCTAAAAATGCGAATGACAGTTTGAATGTTATACAACAGTGCTCCCCAACCCGTGGTCCGCAGACCAGTGCTGGTCTGCTGGAATTTTTTTTTGAAATTACCTGGAGAAAATAAAAGTTGGCTTTTCTTCTTATTGCACTTCATGCTTCAGACATATGTTCACCTGTCTGAAATACATTATTTTCAGCTTTCAATCTGAGAAGCCTTTCTTTGGAACTCAGCTTTCAATTTTTCCCGTAGATAGCTGCTCATGTGTTCTTTACTTGATTTTTGCAATATGAGTTAGTTTGGAGGACTTTCTGACAGGTATTTTAAAATTGTCTCTGATGGTCCTCAAAAATTGAATGGAACTTTGCTTGTCTGCAAAAGATGTTATAACAATTTGCGATTACACGAAATATTTCATTAAAATTTGCCAATCCACAAGCAAAAAAGGTTGGGGAACACGGTGATAGAATGTTTCCTACTTCGTTTAGTTTGATCACACAAAAATAGTTGTATCCTCCATTACCTTGAGCCGGTTTAAAAATGCCTTTCAAATGCTTTTTTTTTAAATAATTCTCCAGCTAAAGATTGAAAAGGTAGCACAAAAATAGTGAATAAATATGGTAATAACAATGATAAATATTTATGCAACGTGACCCTTGCTAGATGCGGATGACTCGACATTGGGACACTTGAAAGTCATAAATTCTGCCCCGAAATTTAGACAATTTTTCGAAATATACCTATTACTGACATTTCTTGACAAAAAAAAATTTTTTTTTCGAGCTTCTTCATCCTCTCGGGGAAATACACCTTTTCATAGTCCAAAAATTATGAAATTTATGATAAAGCAACCAGAGAATAGGCAAATTTTCTGCATCTTTTTCAGGGCTCTCTGTGTTGCAAATTTGGGTTGTTCTGACAAACTTATGTGCTTCCTATGAAGGGACCCATTTGGAAGAAAAAAAGCTGTAAAACCTTGTATCTTCCTTTGGAAGACTGAAATTCAGAAAGCTTTGCTTGTCACTTTAAAATTGAACTCACAAAGAGAGCATCAACATCAAATTTTTTCCACCAACTATTTTTAAGGCTGTAGTCGGCATCCATCAGACCTCATCCATGGAGGCTTCCATGTAAATTAGGTTTCTCCTAAACTCCCACAAAAAATTGGGAAAAATACATACAACCATTGATTGGAAAAATCAGACAATTGTTGTTTATGGATGAAGAAGTATTCTTCAGAATTCCACAAGAGAAATGTTTAGCCTCTTGTGTATGAATCAGTGAATATCTTTCCAAATCAATGTAAGAACATTTGGATCATTGAATTGAGTACATTGAAATGTTGGCATCTAGGAAAATCACATTCAAGTCACAAAGAGATGAGGAAGTCTCACAATGGGGATAGAGACAAATCAAGACTGGACAAATGGAGACAAAAAATTCAAGAGAGGGCCATCTTGAGGCAGGGATAAATTTGAGACAATGACAATTTGAGACAGGGTCAATTCAAGACAGGGACAATTCAAAGTGAAAATCCTGGAAGCCTCCAGATATACAGTGCATCACTAATGTATTCTGCAATTTCAATTTTATGTAGATTGCAAGCATTGAGGAAACCAATGGTATAAGTTTTTTAGACCAAAATAGTGAGAATACATCAAAAGACTTTTTGAAAGCAGGAAATTTTTGAATTTTTGCTAGATATTTTTTCAGCTTGGGCAATTTTTTTGGGATGGTCCATGGGCCAGGTTGAAGGCCTCCAGAAACAACATCTGGGCTATGGGCTGTATCTTGGGAACCCCTAATTGAGAGGCTTGAGAGCTTGCTTTTGTAAAATACAGATCCTCAAGAAAATCCGCCAAATTTAATCAACACCACAGCGTAAAGGACAGCAGCATATTTTGAAAAAGAGGGGATTTGAATTATTTTCATTATATGTATTGTCTTATATATATACTGTCTCTCATTAACAAAATTCAATGGACAAAAAAAGTTTATTTCAGCGAAACTTTTGCTTTAGAGAACAGCTGTAAAAGCCTATAATAATACAGGAAAGAACCCAATGGGACTCCAAAAAATATTTACACTGTACAGAGAAAAATTGTTGTAGACAAGACATTATTATAAAAAGAGCGCACCTGCATGGTTTGTACAGTTGGTAGGTTGAGGAGTGTCATCTACTCACGCATTGAGGAAGACAAATTTGAAATTGTCGACACCAAGACGCAGGGCTCAGATCTTGGATTATAGTAAGCGATGCGAACACGCAGAACTGTACTATACTGCATAACAAGAAATCTGCACAAAATAATATTTATCAGACCTCTGCTGTATTTATGCGCAGTTGTGCGTGAGATTATTCCCTGTTTTATTCACTGCACTTGAACAGAATTCTGATGAGTTCCGTTTTTCTCTGCCACGTTACGAAATCGTATTCCTGGACACGAACCCGAATCATTTTCCAGAGACCACACGTATTTTTCCCAGAGAATTTCAGTTCCGAATCCACTCTTCATAGCTCTAATAGTGAAAAGGAAAAAAAACAAAACAAAAGCAATGAAAGTGCGCCGGGTTTTTCGAGCAATCACTGTCAAATTCAAGTCAGCCTGGGAAGAATTCGCAGAGACAACAACCCTCGGGGGTTGTGCTCAAATCTACAAGGCCCGAAGCAGGTCTCAGAGAATCACGTGGATCCTCGTGCTCACACTCATGTCCAGCTTGACACTTTGGAACACAACCACGGTTGTGCTCGACTATCTTCGATTCGAAGTGACCACGACCGTGTCAGTCACTTTGCAACCCAAGTTACCCTTCCCGGCGGTCACGGTGTGCAACAGGAACCCAGTTGAGTGTTCGAAACTGATGTCGGTGTATCTGAGAAACAGGGGAGATGTGGGACTGAAACGGTTGCTGGTGTTGAGCAATTGTTTTGCGGGGTTCAACAGACCATCTTTGATACAAAAGGTTGGATGAGCTTCTTGCAAAAAAATCGATTTATGCAAACTAGTGCTGTGCAACTGCCGGTCTTTTCAATATTCTTCAGCAAAATGTATGTACGTATAGCAAGTGTTTTCCTAGCAGTTGAGCAACGTCTCAGATATTATTTTTAGTCTTGTTGCGTTGGTGAAAATAAATATGGATAATATTTGTATTACACTAGAGATTTTATGGTGCTAAGACTAAATATCTTTTTTGCCAACTCTCTGATTTACACTTAGTTACACTCCATTTTTGTCCAGGCGGATCCCAAACCTAGTACACAAAGCATACAAGTCAAATCAGTGGATTGTCAGAAAGATGTATCTTGATAATTTGAACCTGCCCAAGTCAAATATCCCCCAAATGCAATTTTTTTCAGATCCCCATCAGAATCCCCTGAGAAAGAATAAAGTAAAACCTCTCTGAGTCAAAGGCTTTCCTCCTCAAACCTCTGGAAGTCCAATTTTCTGTGGCCTTTTGGCTATTATTTTCTCTACTCAAGAAACAAAGAAAAATACAAACAGAAATGGATGTGTTTCAAAAGGAAGTGAAAGACTGAATTGGACAACCAAACCCCTGCCTACAAGTCCTGCATCCTTTCAACTCATTTAAGAAGCAACTGAAACTGCAGAATACAACATTTCAAGATTTCGGAAATTTTTCTATGTTTTCCACAAATGAACAGCTTTGTATTGTAGCTCAAACCTCTATAATTCAAAGCCTTCTTGAGTCTAAACCCCCCTAGTCAAATTTTTTTGCTGGTTCCTTGAAACTGGACTTAGAGAGATTCAACTGTAATTTCTTTCAACTTTGTTTCTATTCTTTCATCAACATAATCCTCATGCAACTTCCACCTACAATGTACACTGCTCTTTTCAGAGGGTCTCTCACAAATAAAGTAAAAAGGACTCAGATGCGGGTCATTTTATTATTTTGGGGGACCTCTCCGAGGCCAATAAAATTATTATCACATCATTCCGGTATGAACAGAATGCAGGCAAGTATAGAAAGGACAGGTTCCTTTGAGCAACTGTGTTTCTGATGCAATTTATTATTCAAAACGCAAACCTTATTCACCATCAGGTAATGAAAGAGGGAAGAATGACCTCTATGAAGAGAAACAAGGTTACTCAGACACTGCCATCCTGCATCATAAGCAGATGGGAAACAAGACCAGAACCCAGCAGGGGTTCAGGAATTTTTAACCATTTCTGCTAGGAAGAAATTAGCAAATTGACAGCGGATTTATTTTATAAATAATGGTTCAATTGAATGCTCTTCAAGTATGCATATTCACATTTTTTTTCTTCAAGTGGATCAGAATTCACTTTTTAAGAAATAAAAATCTGGGAATTTTGGAATGCTTACAAAATGAAGTAAAAAGGCGTGTGTGGACTTCTCGTTGAATAATTGTGAAATAAAATATTACAGTATTACTGTATAGGTGTAAATAATATTCGTGCATGAATAGCATGTTGACTCCCGGTTTAGGTGGAAAAACAGAAACTAAATAGTGCTCAGAGCCAAGTAGTTAAGCTTTTCTTTACAAATTGAACATTTGAATCAAATATATTGTATTTACAATTAAATTTTTAGTCCAGAAAACATGAGGATGGTTTAAAAGCCAGGGGAAGTTTTTAATCAATTTCTCAGGTGCACATGTTTATCTAAATAAGGCATGTGCTGCTTGATTTAGCATTGTATATTTTATGCATG